AGCGATAGGAAAAATGATCAAATCAGAAAAAAGTCGTTACATGTTTTGTAAGCCATTAAAAGATTTAGGATTTAACATCACTGTGGATACAGGTTTGCAAAAGAATCGAGCATCTTGAATTAAAATTAAAGCTTGGCGAGGGGAGTTTTTAAACCATAAAGGAACAAGAATTGCAAATTTAGATCTGTTAGCGTTAAATCAAACCCCGCCCCACTGAGCAATAACCGATAGAACATAGATTGTCACAGAACTAGTCTTCAGATCGCATTTCCAAAAATATAAAACATGAAAAATCGTCAGCAATGCAAGATATTAAAATATAGAAGTACCAATCCAATTTCGACAAATACAGAATTTAAAAAAGAAAAAGAAAAAGAAAGATTATTTTGTTTAAATTTAAACGCCATTTAATCTACAAGTAAATCCGAAATGAATTCGAAAGTCCTCCCTCTACCAAACAAACACTTTCAAGCGAATTCGATAAATTTTTTTAAATAAGAATACAGTTAAAATTATCCCCAGTACAATACCCAATATGGAGAGGATTATTAAGGAGTATAACTAGAAAGTGTTGATGAGTAAATCTCCAAGTAAAACACAAACAAAAAAAATAATGAAAAACTGAAAATTGCCCCTTAAATGGCAAATGTTTGGCTGATAATACCGTATACAGAGCCGAAGTTGAGGATCAAGGCAAACCCATGTTGAATTATATTCATTCGATTAGGGACGAGTCAAAAATAAACATGCAGCAATCATTCAAGAGATTGAGTAGATATTGTGATAGAACAGTCTGGATAATTCTGGAAAATAAAAGATGAATGGAACGCCCAAACGATGATAAGTTGGAACATGAAAAGTAAGAGATATGCCGGGAGAGAGATATTTTGTAAATTGTCTCAGGAGGAAAACTTGTTGATCTTGATGCCTCGAAATCGAGGCTCGATATTGAATCCCCAAAATAATGACTAGATGTTTGCATGCAAAACGTATTTAATGGATAAAATTGAGCCCGGGTGGTTCCCACATATATGCAATGCCTTTTAAAAGGAGAACAAATATTATAGTGATCCGAAGCAGAGGGCAGGGAGGCGGCATTTTGATCCTAGGCAGTAGGTACAGACACTATATTGATCCTAGGAAGAACTCAGAAGAGATAAACTACATTCGGGAGTAAGACCTATGATCTGGAGGTATTGACAGGCGTGTAAAAACCTCCAGATCATAGGTCTTACAGATCTTCCAAGCTATGGACAAATAATGAACCTACAAATTGGAGTCAGAATATGGAAATGCAAAAATACATTACAAAAATAAGCAGCAACACATTTTAATAGCAAAAAGAAATAAAAAATTACCATCAATACATTTTCATATTAAAAAGAAATAAAAAATTACCATCAATACATGTTCATATTAGAAAGAAATAAAAAATTACCATCAATACATTTTCATATTCAAAAGAAATAAAAAATTACCATCTATACATTTTCATATTAAAAAGAAATATAAAATTACCATCAATACATTTACATAGTAAAAAGAATTAAAAAATTACCATCAATACATTTTCATAGTAAAAAGAAATAAAAAATTACCATCAATACATTTTTAGTGTAAAAAGAAAAAAATTACCATCAATACATTTTTATAGTAAAAAGAAATAAAAATTTACCATCAATACATTTTTAGTGTAAAAAAAATAAAAAAATTACCATCAATACATTTTCATAGTAAAATGAAATAAAAAATTACCGTCAAAACATTTACATAGTAAAATGAAATAAAAAATTACCATCAATACATTTTCATAGTAAAAAGAAATAAAAAATTACCATCAATACATTTTTAGTGTAAAAAGAAATAAAAAATTACCATCAATACATTTTCATATTCAAAAGAAATAAAAAATTACCATCAATACATTTTCATAGCAAAAAGAAATAAAAAATTACCATCAAAACATTTTCATAGTAAAAAGAAATAAAAAATTACCATCAATACATTTTTATTGTAAAAAGAAATAAAAATTACCATCAATACCTTTTCATAGTAAAAAGAAATAAAAAAACCATTAATACATTTTCATAGTAAAAAGAAACAAAAAACTACCATCAATACATTTACATAGTAAAAAGAAATAAAAATTACCATCCAAACATTTTTAGTGTAAAAAGAAAAAAAATTACCATCTATACATTTTCATAGTAAAAAGAAATAAAAAATTAACATATATACATTTTCATAATAAAAAGAAATAAAAAATTTCCATCAATACATTTTCCTAGTAAAAAGAAATAAAAAATTACCATCAATACATTTTTAGTGTAAAAAGAAATAAAAATTTACCATCAATACATTTTCATAGTAAAAAGAAATAAAAATTTACCATCAATACATTTTTAGTGTAAAAAAAATAAAAAAATTACCATCAATACATTTTCATAGTAAAATGAAATAAAAAATTACCGTCAAAACATTTACATAGTAAAATGAAATAAAAAATTACCATCAATACATTTTCATAGTAAAAAGAAATAAAAAATTACCAGCAATACATTTTCATAGTAAAAAAAAATTACCATCAATACATTTTCATAGTAACAAAATTACCATCAATACATTTTCATACCAAAAAGGAATAAAAAATTTCCATCAATACATTTTCATAGTAAAAAGAATTAAAAAAATTACCATCAATACATTTTTAATGTAAAATGAAAAAAAAAATTTCCATCAATACATTTTCATAGTAAAACGAAATTATCAGCAATACGTTATTGGAAAAAAATAACAATGCTCATAAAAGAAATAATTGCCACAAAACAAGCATATTGCACTTTTCCTATGCAGAAGTACTGATCTATACATTTTTAATCAATTGCGTCATTTTTCTGCCGATACTACTCTCATGTTATACATAATTCGTCCGATATGACGTCTCCTTCATATCGGCTTCCTTACAAATCAATGAGATAAGGATACAATTTGTTTTACCTAGTCATTTGGTTTTGAGTAAATTGACTGTATAGAGACACATATCGATTTGGAGATGTGAAATCACATCATATCTCCAGCTGGCCAACTTAAGAGACATTGATCTAAACTTATTAAACGTTAATTTCCTTGCAATATCGATCTGGTATTATCTGAATTGGCCCTTTTGTTATCATGTCTTATCTTTTAGATGCGATTTAAATAATCAGAACGACACGTAGATTAAACAATCAAATATTATTATTCTGATGATATATATAAGACTGTCGTGCCCACTAAAATATCAAATATAATATTTATAAACCAATCACACTCAAGAAAACACTTACAACTTAAAACACACCAATAAAATCATAGAATACAAATCAGAATGTTTGTTGTATTAGTCATCATTATTTTTAAGTAGATACCAACCAGATATCGTACGGACGTAGTAGAAGACATACCGCGTGCCCTTTAGGAGCCGAAATTGTTACGAAAAAGTGTATAAAACATGTGAAATCCGTTCAGAAACAGGATACACACAACTGTCGCCAAACTTCACGCAACTCTCGCTTAAGATATTCACGACCTCACATTAAAAGCGACAGCGTTGACAAATTTCAGTCTACGGCAACACCGCCAACAGTAAGTGACAATTTCTATCTCTTGTACCCGCTTTACTATGAATCACGCACACAAGTGTTGACATTTTCATGTAAACACATATATTACAACATTTTATTATTTCTCACATACATACACAAAGAGAGTTTATATTTTATTTCAGAACTTTATTAACCCAAACAAAAAGACATTACTTTCCAATTTATCATCAACTGCTTGTATTCTTGTCGCTATATTAAATTATTGTTTATTTCTTGAAATTACGTTGTCTTTTCTACTGAATTTTATTTCTTCAGTGAAAATCGCGTGATTATTCTAGACAGCCAAATTACCAGCCACCCTGTAACGATATTTTGTTAATGTATCGAATCCCGACACTCCAAATTTTAACATTCAACGAAAAACCGAGTAGAAGGATTCCTACAAGACTGTCAGAAAGTTCTTCAAAATCTTCTATTCGTTATTGGCATTGTGGCATATAAAATGTTTTGAAAATCTTGTACTGATGTCTGCACATTTTTCGTTCGATTTAGACGTTTGTCATTGATTCCGTGAATTCAGTGACGATCTTATATTCCTTAAAGATGAGAAATTAAGACACATGCTCTCCAAAATGGCTGAAATGAAAGATAAGAAAGATTACTTGGTGAATGTGGTAATGATTATCGCCTCCTTATAATTAGGTCACATGACCCTGAAACACCACTTCCGGTACGATCACATTGAGACGGGTCAGTACCTAGAAGGATGACCGCCTGGGAACATCAGGTGTTGTAAAGCTTGAATGTGTGGTTTGTGTAATTGATAATGGTTCGGAATTGTTAGCTGGAGAGCCGATTTCCAATTCCAATTCGTTACATTCACATACACCCAAATACCCCATTTTCTCCAGCTATGGATTAATTAGTAAGACTAGTGCTGCTAAATATGGTGAAAATGTTTCTACTGTCAGTGGCAAGCAATGTCAGTGGAAACATCACAGAAAACAATTCATGAGTAATTCGAAGGAATTCCCGTTAGCGACAGTAGCTTAGTACCACCTCCGAGGGACAATAGCTTAGTACCACCTCCGAGTGACAGTAGCTTAGTACCACCTCCGAGGTAGAATAGCTTAGTACCACCTCCGAGGTAGAATAGCTTAGTACCACCTCTGAGTGACAGTAGCTTAGTACCACCCCCGAGGTAGAATAGCTTAGCACCACCTCCGAGTGACAGTAGATTAGCACCACTTCCGGGTGACAGTAGCTTAGTACCACCTCCGAGTGACAGTAGCTTAGTACCACCTCCGAGGTAGAATAGCTTAGTACCACCTCCGAGGTAGAATAGCTTAGTACCACCTCCGAGCGACAATAGCTTAGTACCAACACCTCAAACAATTCACCAGTCAAGAGGCAAGACTAAGACTGAAGAGAGAGAGAGAGAGAGAGAGAGAGAGAGAGAGAGAGAGAGAGAGGTGGAAATGAAGGAAAAGAGGTCAGGAAAAGAAGCAAGGAAATGATAGGAAGGAAAAAAGAAGGAAGGAAGAAAGGATGAGATGAAGGAAAGGAAGGAAGGAAAGAAGAAAGGAAGAAAGAAAAGAAGAAAGGAAGAAAGGAAGGAAGAAAGGAAGGAAGGAAGGAAGGAAAAGAAGGAAGGGACAGAAACAAGGAAAGGAAAGGAAGTGATAAGGAAAGAAGGAAGAAAGGAAGGAATGGAAGAAAAGAAGGAAAAAAAGAAAGGAAAAGAAGGAAAGAAGAAAGAAATGAAAAGAAGGGAGGAAAGGAAAGAAGAAAAAGAAGTAAGTAAAGGAAAGGATCAAAATGAAACGGAACGAAACGAAATGTAACGAAACGAAGGAAAGGAAAGAAAAAGAAAAAAATGTGTCCACAGTAATTTGGTTTCACATTATATAGCGTCTATTTCGTATATCTCAAAAAGTCTCGTGTGACATTATTGTCTTTAAATATTTTGACTCAGAGGGCGGCCATTTTCCTTTCTGGGTATTTTGCGTGCAAGACGTTTGTGAACTCTTTGCGTCGGTAACTCATTTTGTCTTGTAATCATTTTCAGTGGGGCGGTCTTTCGTTTCCACTATAAATTTGATCACTAAAACCAATCTTATCTAAAAAATAAATAAATAAAACTGCGTACAAGGTATATAGATTTCGGTATTAAATAACCCATAGAGGTTGATATGCCACTAAGCAAAACTAACCGTGTCCTTTAATTATTAGCCGAAAACTCTAGTGCAATTTTTGTTTGAAATTTATAATTTTTTCAATTAAATCAATTTTTCAGGAGATAAGTTTTCCCAACTCCAGTAACTCTTATCACTTTGTCTATTATTGCTTGGGGCTTCCTCCTTAACTTTTTTGAAGTAGTGTTGAATATCAAGATGTTGATTATATCATTATTTTCTCTTCAACTTACATGTGAGATCCATTTTAGTTGTTGTTTTTGAAAGCTCTCAACTAATCTGGTTGCATGCCGATCAAAAAACATGGAAGAAGTGACTTCTTGCTAACATTCAAGCAACTTTTCTACAGAATAAAACCTGCAAGGAAAGCGTTTTTGTCTTGCCGGAATGGTGCGAAAAATTCGTAAAACTGAACTTTAACATAATGCCATCATCAATACAGAATTCGGTGACATCAGGCTTGTAGTTATTTTTTTTTAATCATTTCACCCCAAGCAAGGCGGGAGTGCCACTAGCACGTAAGGGGTTACAGAGAGTGAGAGTAAAGAGGAGTGTTTGGGAAAAGGATAAAGAGAAGGACAGTGATCAAAGTCAAGGCATCAGAAGATGTCGATTGACATTACATTTAAATATTTGAAGATTATAGAAAGTCATAGGAAGGTATTTCCACTGGCGGGAACTGCGAGATGAGAAGCTGTTAAAGTAGAAGAGACGGCTACATTTAAACGTTTCGACAATGAAAAGGTGGGACTGATATGCCAATCTAGTAGTACGTTTAAATTCAGGCAGTCTGGGAACCAGAGAAAGTAGCTCGTCGGAGCAGTTGTCATGACAATACGTGTAAAAGAGACAGAGATAAACTATGGCATGTATGTGAGAAAGTAACTGTAGACCAAATGTCAGAGATGATCCCAAATGTTAAAGCATCATCGAAAAGTCAATTTTCTATCCTTTGCAAAAGCTTGCTGTAGACAATTCCATCAAAATTTAACGAAGAAATTTCAGCAAGAATTAAATGAAAAAAGCGGAAAGAATGTTTGGGAAAATGTGTAACGCTACATAGTAACTATATTAGGGTACCTCAACGTGGTGTAATGGTTAGAAAGTTTGTATCACTAGAAGAATTACGACTGAGTTGTGAGTTTCATCCTTATTAGCTGTCCCATTACGTTCAGCCTTGTGCCAGACCTAAGCTACATTTAGAAAACCACTATAGTAATTATGTTAAAAAAGAAATGCGTTAATCTAAGAAATAAATTTACCTTATTTTAATGCTGGTTTCAATATTCTACGTGGTCTAAAACTTGTAATATTTGGAAACCATATTTATTAATCAACCCTCGTATGTTTGGAGAATATAAGTTGACTCCATTTTTAACATTCAGTCTGTAATAAAATTTGTTTCATCGGATTAGACACCTTGTAAATTTGAAGAGAAATGAATTTTCATCATTTTGATACCTCTTTCATTTTTATCTGGTCTAAAAAGAAATTTAAACAGAGACTTTATCAATTCTCGTAATTTTGAAGAGAAATTTACTGCATTTTAATACCAGTTTCTTTATTCTATCTGGTCTAAAACTTGTTTGATAGCATTGGAGACCTTATCAATCAACCCTGATAATTAAGAGATTAAAATTTTTAATAATAGTTTGATTATTCTACTTTGGCTAACACTTGTTATATATGATCGGAGGCCTTATCAATCAACACAATTTAGACAGGTTTCATTATTTTATCTAGTAAATATCTTGTTTTATAGAACTGAGGACCTTACTTATCAATCAACTCTTGTGATTATTTTTATGTCAGTTGCATTATTCTATCTGGTTTAAAACTTATTTTATAGCTACATATATAGAGACATAACTAAATTATCATTCCTTTTAATTTTGAAGAGAAATAAACTGACTTCTATAGAAATACTGATTTTATTCTTCTGTCTGGTCTTTGCTTATCAACGAAAAGCACGTCATTTTGAAGAGAAATAACTTTACTTTATTTTGTTACCAGTTTCATTATTTTATCTGCTTCCGAATTTGTTTTGTAAGATTGTAAGATTTAGAGGGCTTTATTTATTAACTACACCTCGTACATTTCATCTAGAATTTCTGACCCTTGCGTTTTATTTAATCACCATTTTTACGGCCATATAATGTATAAGAGAACCAATCTTTTTTCGTCCACCGCAAAGAATAATTACAAACTACCTCAACAAACAAGCAGAAAGACGTGAAAATGATGACTTTTCGGCCCTAATGCATTTTCGCACTCCCAGTCCGTCATGTTTTTTCCCGCGACAACGATAAAGTTCCGTGACAATTTGATGCCAGAAGTTGAAAATGGCGAATCACCAAAACTTTGAGCCCACATAAATTCCGCCAGTTATTCAGAAATCATCCCTCTGTTGGTGGGGCCAATTCATGGCTTTAAATTTAGCCTGGGCACGCTGCAAAGTTGCTTTAATTCGATTCGTGGTGACTCCAATGTTTCGATCCACTTTGTTCTGAGTGGAGATGGGAGTATCATGGCTGAACCCACTATTTATCAAAGCATTGTATGAGGTACACATATTAGTCCAGACTGTCGTACCTGGAACAAACCCGTTGCTTAATATCAGGAAGCAAGGAGTTTGTAGAACGATCATTTCAAAAGAATTTTTTTTTAAAATCAAATATGAACAAAAAAATCAAAATCAAAACGGGGGGGGTGTCGAAAGTGTAATAGCGACGAATTTTCTAAATGAAATTGGCTTTTATCTGTAAATAAGCATAATCAACATTTAAAAAAAATCTGCCTCGAAAATGATTTCTTTTAGCAAAGGGAATTTGAGGAGATTTTCTATTCATTGTCCAAAGGCTCAAAGAAAGAATCTGAGATAAAATTGATTGAAATATTCTCTTTGCCTGCGTATCATCTTTAATCTATAAAAAGCAAGAAAATTACATTGAAACGTTTAAATCAACAATTGAAAAACTATAATAAATAATTACAAAAATAAACATGTTGGAAACGGTTCAAAATTCGAAAAAATCAATTTAACATTCTGGAAGAGATTTTGGCTGTAAAGAAGAAATAAAATGATTCCGCCACTTTTCTTTCTTTTCTTTCTTTTTCTTTCTTTCTTTTCTTTTCTGTCATTTCTTTTCTGTTTCTTTATTTTCCTTTCTTTTCCTTTCTTTCTTTTTCATTTTCTTTCTTTCTTTTTTCTTTGTTTTCTGTTTGTATATCGAAGTTATTACTTGTTTTGTTTACTTTTCTTTCTTTTCCTTTCTTCTTTTTTTATTTCGTTTTTCTTTCTTTTTCTTTCTGTTTCTTTTTCTTTCTTTGCTTTCTTTCTTCTTTCTTTGTTTTTCTTTCATTTTTCTTTCTTTCTTTTTTCTTTCGTTTTTGTTACCTTTTCCTTTCTTCTTTCTTCTTTCTGTTTCGTTTTCTTTCTTTTCCTTTCTTTCTTTCTTTTTTCTTTCGTTTTTCTTTGTTTTTGAAATTCTTCTTTCTTTTTTCTTTGTTTTTCTTTTTTCTTACGTTTTTCTTACGTTTTTCTTACGTTTTTCTTTCTTTTCTTTCTTCTTTCTTTTTCTTTCTTTTTTCTTTCCATTTCTTTGTTTTTCATTCTTACTTTCTTTTCGTTTTTCTTCCTTTTTTTCTTTCTTTTTCTTTCTTTTTTTACTTTTCCTTTCTCTTTCTTTTTCTTTCTGTTTCTTTTCCTTCCTTCTTTTTTCTTTTTTTCTTTCTCTTTCTTTATTCTCTTTCTTTCTTTTCTACTTTCTTTCTTTCTCTGTTAGAAAACACAGTCAAGAAACCCTAATGCTGTGAGAAAATTTATAAAGGACAAAATTATACCCAGATGAAATATCTCTCTCTCTCTCTGTTTGTCTCTTTCTCTCTCTCTTTCTCTATGTTACCTATTTATCTATTTAAAAAATCATCTTCAGGCATTACTCAATATTGTAACATTTATTACTGTAATGCAAAGACGCTGGCCGTAGCCTACAAGGGCAGATAACTCAGCGGGATTTATGTAATTGATACAAATAGTAATACCATGGAAATGTTTCAAAGACATAAATGGATGTCGCTGCTGATGCAAATACGACTTACGCATATAGGACCTGTGGCCTTGTTCGTGTTCGACACTATTAAAAGATTTATTATTAATGTCATGCGATCGTTTCGTAAGGACAGCCTATAACTATCTATCTATCTATCTATCTATCTATCTATCTATCTATCTATCTATAACAGTGTTTATCTAACCAATTTTTAAATGTCTATACCATTTGTATCCAAACATTTACCCTAAATGAATAGTTGCCTACATAATAATTCTCTCCAAATGAATAGTTACCAACATAATAATTCTCCTCAAATTAATATTTTCCTGCATAATAATTCTCACTAAATTAATATTTACCTGCATAATAATTCTCCCCAAATTAATATTCGATCACAATAATTTTCCCCAATTTAGTATTTGTTTGCATAATAATTCTCCCCAAATTAATATTCGATTACATAATAATTTTCCCCCAAATTAATATTTGTATGCTAATAATTCTCCCCAAATTAATATTTGCCCATATAATAATCCCCCAACATTAATATTTGCCTATATAATAATTCTCCCCAAATTAATATTTGCCTGTATAATAATTCTCCCCAAATTAATATTTGCTTGCATAATAATTTCCTCAAAATTAATATTTGCCGGCATCATAATTGATCCCAAATTTATATTTGCCTATATAATAATTTTCCCAAATTAATATTTTCCTGCATCATAATTCTCCCCAAATTAGTATTTGCCTGCATAATAATTCTCTCCAAATTAATATTTGCCTATATAATAATTCTCCCCAAATTAATATTTGCTTGCATAATACTTCTCCCCAAATTAATATTTGCCTGCATAATAATTCCCATTTCGCATCTCAAGATTCAGTAAATTGTCTTAACTTATGTTGTATACCGCGCCTAGCAAAATTACTGAACACTTGAATAACCTTTAATGATAATAGAGAACCATTTTTATCCTTTATCAGTATGGCTGATGCTAACCAGGAGAGCGACTCATTGCGTTCTTGTTTTTTACTGACATGAAGTGGTGCACTCATACTGAATCAATTTCTGGGTTCTACTGTTAAGAAGCTTGGTTCACTGTGTCGTGCCAAGAATTTTTTTATCTTCAGAGACTTGCATATTTATAAATCTATCATTCTTCCTTGCATTGAACATTGCTGTCATATCTGGTCTGCCCCGGCTATATACATCAAGATTCTCGACAAAATCCAAAGAAGGGCCTTCAGTCACTTTCCCACCGTCGTAAAGTGGCTTCCTTGTGTTTTTTCCAGAAATATTTTCATGGGAATTGTTCTAATTAGCTCCATTGACCGTATGAATTGAAGCCCATTACTAGATTGGCCAGTAGGTTTCATCGTTTTACTGTCTGTGGATTGGCTCGATGGAACCGCAAGTTCTATTCTAATAGTTTCTTTTCTAGCACTTCTCGACTGTGGAACTCTTTCCGGGATTTTTGCTTACTTGTTACCAACAATCTTGCAAAATCTAAATGCAAGTTCAATCGCCATCTTCTGTTTTCCTTGGCCCTATTCTTTTATTGTCCTTTCTCCTCACTAAAGTTTATTTATTCTCTTCCACTTCCAGTAACGTTTTAGCGGCATTATCTCCTTGCTTGGGGTGAAATGATAGAAAAAGACATAGTTGATGTTAAGCTTCGTGTTTTTTTATTTAACAGCAAATAAATTTCTCACATATAAGACGAAAAACATCTATATTTAAAAGATGATATCCTCGTTTCATAAAATATAAGTAGATTAAATTCTTGAAATTAATTGTATATTTTACGAACCACGCAGAAAAAATATTACGAAAGAACTCAATATTGAGGAATGTTTATGGGAATTCATCGACCAAAAATTAGGATTAGTACTTACTTGTTTCTCCTGAAAATTTTATTTAATTCATGGATGTATTTCACTATTTTAAAGCAATATTCGTTATCAGTGTCATTCCAACATCCTATAAATGTGCGAATTCATAATTTTTTTACCAGATGTTTTACAGAACCCCTTCGCTAATGCTCCTCAGGTTTGCAGAGAATCGTCGGCAAAATTATCAATTAATATCTAATCCATCAGTTTTCAAAAGAAAGAGCGGAGATTGGATAGAATCCGCGGCAAGAAATATTCCTCTTTCATCCACAAGACTCTTTGATTATTACTGAGCTGATTTGGCTGGCACATGCATTAACATACTCATACGCTCTCTCTCTCTCTCTCTCTCTCTCTCTCTATATATATATATATATATATATATATATATATATATATATATATATATATATATATATATTTTTTGGAAGCATTATAGGAGTGATAGAACAAAAAGATGAGGAGAGGGATAGTGGATGAATCAAGGTAACAGGAGATGTCGATTGAAAATAAGTTGGAGATTATAGCTCTCAGGGAAACAGTAATTTTCCACAGGCGAGAGGTGCGATTGGAGTAGAAGAGACGGCTACATTTAAAAAGTTTCTACAGTGTAAGGGTGAGGAGCGGGATGCCAGCCTTTGGATCGGACAATTACCATGAAAGTATTTGTTTCCAGAGAGAGGCGACGGCGCATGGGATCCTAACAAACGGATCAGGGCCAATTATATTACATATCCGCCTCCTCAAAAACAGCCTCCCATTACTGGTCACGTCCATTACTTCTTAAACGATTAATTAACACGCAGTTGATGATGTGAAATAATTTTTTCGTTTGCAGGCAATGTAGTTACTTAACATCTTAGTCGTTTCAGATATTCAAATGAAGTGTCATTTGGACAAAACAAATTTTATACTTTAAATGATTCATTATTTTTCAGTGTTAAACTAAATTCTCAAAAATGTTGTATGTATGGTGTGGATTTTTTAGATGTTTTCATCTGATTTCGAAATTTGTTTTTGTTTGATAGATAATTCTCCAGTGCATTTAGAAAATGGAAAAAAACATTGGAGGTGAAAAAATCGAAAAAAAAATTTTTTTACTCTTTACGCAAAAATGAAATTTACAATTCAACGTAAAAGATTCGTTGTAAAAAATATATTATAAATAAAAATTATCGTATCGGTAAATTATTATTATTATTATTATGACGGTCCAGAAAGGTGTTTCTTCCTTGCAACATCGAGAACAAAAAAAACTTTTTTTAATAAATTGTTTATTTGGAGTTTAATCAACTGTTGTTTAATATTGAAATTAATAATTGAATGGCAACAATTGATATCTAAAGACGGGTTATATTGCTAGTATAGAATTATTTGAAAAGTCGATTTTGGTCATAGAATCATGAAAATCAATATGCTTGCGACAAATATTGTTTGTTTCTAAATAGCCTTTGTTTATCTTGTACAACAAAAATAACAACAATAATTATTATTGTCTTAACGAACTTTTTCACTCTCACGTTGAAACACCGGTATATAAACAAACGAGCCTGGTCAGTATCTAGATGCTTCATCGTTTGGGAATACCAGCGTTTGCTGTAATGGATAATAAGAAATGTAGAATTTTATTTGAGGTTTCAAAATCAATGATGTTCTTTGGAAAAAGACCACCTTCCTTTCTAATATGGTTTATTTAGTATGACATCTATCACTAAATCATTACTATCTCCAAAAATAACAATATATGCATAAATACATGCATACATACATACATACATACATACATATATATATATATATATATATATATATATATATATATATATATATATATATATATATATATATATATATATATTACATTTTATGTTTATACATTCTTTTTTATAGATACAAATATTTAAAAGTAAATGCTCTGTTTATAATAAACCGTATTAAACAACATCTACCGGCTTGAATGTCCGAGAAATTTTCACAGAAAATATTCGTCCTTATTATAAACAGAGCATTTATTTTTGGCTATATAAAAGAATGTTTAAAATATGTGGTGAATATATATATATATATATATATATATATATATATATATATATATATATATATATATATATATATAGTCTGGCTTTAGATAAACTGAGAAGGTTGATAAGCTCGTAAACAATGTTTAAATACAATTTTGAACAACATTTTAATATCACTAAGTTAAAAGAAATGTCGTGGTCTTGCAACCATTTACATTTTTAGAAATTACTTTTTGACAATCACAGATTATGCCAACATCACAGATTTCAATTTTTATCAGGACGAGTTTTGATTGCGTTTTAGAAAATTAACCTGTAATAAAACAATTTTATATAACTTCAGTAAGGTTGTTTTTTTTGTTTAGCTGCACATTATCTTCTTATGGGTTATTTAATGCCAAATATAATTTTCTTGGGCAAAAATGTATTAAAAATATTTTTTTTTTACTCAAAATTACTGGCTATAAAAATTAAATACATTCGGACAATTTTGGAGGTTAATTATTTTCCTACAGAATTTTGTTGGGATCCTAACAGGTTGTTTCACGTCCTCAATTCAGAGAATATTTGTTTACGAAACAGTTTTGGGGTGGCAGATGTTGAATAAATGTTTATTATAAACTGGACACTGAATAAATAATTTTGAAAACCCGGATGGTCAACTTGTATGAAATAGCGAAGAGAGAGATTAAGTTTTAAAATATTGTATAGTTTAATCAACTGCGTTCGAAATTAATATCAACTTATTGGTATTTTATTTGAAATCATGTCAATATCTGCGCATTTTAGATTCTGTATATAAAACAAACAGCAGGCGTCTCTTTCAGGTTTTCAAAATCAATGACTGAGACTTTAACAAGCCGGAGATATTTTACAAAAAAAAGTCTATAAAAAAATTAGAACACAATGATAAGGTGCCGTGGTCCAAGAAGAAATTTTTCATAAAATCTAGTTTTGCATCCACAACAAAAACGGTTTTCAAAATTACTGGCTTGTTAAAGCGGACAATTTCGCGAACTTACGTCGATTGAATATTTGTTTAGCATTTTGGGTGGCTTAAATTTGCGGATGGCAGGGATGCTTTTTGAAACGCTATTTTAGATTCTGTACATTCTCTTTCATACGAAATCTGCAAAAGCTCACAAAAAAAAAAAAAAAAAAAACACGGATGGCCGATTTCTAATTCTAGTTTCACAACAAGGGGCATACATTTTATATTAAAATGTTTCCTTATAAATTTGACGAATTTATGTTTCAAACATTAGCTTTTTTAAAATTTGAAAT